AAAGTAAAGAACAAAAAAAAAAAGAAAACGATTAATCGATTATTAAYTTAGTCARCGARTATTTTAATAATCGATTAGTCGTCGATTAATCGATTAATCGTTGCAGCCCTAACTGTAGTAACAGAATTCTCAAACGGCAAACTGTTTTTTGTGTGATTCAGTCCAAATTTTCTATTTTGGAATAAAGGTCAAAATTAATTGTTTGATTTTTTTTCCACAATTCATCCATTAATCAAAAAATAATAATAATTGAACCGATTAATCAATTATATAACAATCATTAGCTGCAGCCCTACTCCCAGCTATCAGTCCTTGTGTTCCTTTTTTATTACAAAATAAGTAACCCACAACAGGTTAGCCTTAAACCATTGCAAAATAAACAATTATATCTCGACTAACTGCAGTACTTATTCTGGCTTAAAATATGCATTTGGTAAATACCAACACATGACAGGAGGCAGGTTTGGTTCACCCACAGTGAAGGCCCAAAGCTTTTCTTATCTTGTAAACACTTTTTTTGTTGTTTCTAACCGTGCCATAAAAACTAAAGTCACTGAGCAAAGGTGACTGATGGGTTTGTTACTGGTGATTTTCCATTGATGTTGGATGAAATTTCTTTCTGGGCAAGTTTGGCTGCACAAAACAAAAGAACGCATATTTAAAACATGGAGAAACTTCCTGTTTCTTTCTGCCACAGTGTAAAAACTTGAATGTTCGAGTCATTTGGCTCTACAGTTGTCCTACAGGTGTGAGAATGTGTGTGTGAACGGTTGTCCTCGTGATGTCCACTGTGATGAACTGGTGATCTGTCCTGAGTGTGCCCTGCCTCCAGCTTATGTCCTAATGCATCTCAGTAATCCAGTTAGAAATAAATAAAAAAATAAAAAATAAGTAGGTCCTCTGGATGGGTTCTTCTTTAGTGAAACAGCTTATGTATGTCAGTCTGTCCCTCACTGCAAATGTGTGATGGGAGACTTTAACATAAAACACAAGTCATTAGGTTGGCTCCAAGTTTCCTCAAACAACTTATCATCAGCATGGCATGCAGATTAATACATGTCACTTGAGTAAAGTTCAAGAAAGAACACAAGAAAGTGGATTAATCTGACACTTTAGATCAGCTGTCAAATAAATCCGTTTATAATCAAATTCTTTAACACCTGCCGATACAGAAAACACCTGAAAGGTTTTTATATTTCTCCTAGCTTGAAGAACAGCAGCCTTTATAAACCCAACCCTAATGAATTATAATTTATGCCAGTTCACTACCAAGAAGCACATGTGAAGAGCAGGCTTAATAAATGTGCTATTAACACACAAAATAAAAAAAACATGTTTTGCTTAAATATATAAGCTATCAATCTGATGTTCTGAGGCAGGCATTAAATCATTTACTGTGATTGTAACTATAATTAAATTCATGTTATAAGCAACATGCTAGCATTAGCATGCTAGCCAACCAAGTGTTCCTGTTGAACTAATAAGACGACATAAAGTTTAAACAAACGCTTTAAAAATGCTAAGTAAAGTACAACATAACGGACACTCACCAGCCGTCACACCACAACCGCACCACCCGCTTCCTTTTCTCCGGGCTGCACACCGAGCCCACCGGCTGACTGCCCCCGGCTTCTTCGCTCTGCCTGTCGGCAGCGTGGTGACCGTTTTTGATCATTTCGGCGACTTCAGTCAAGTAAAGTAGAAAAAGTTTAAAAGAACTGCACGTTTTAAAATCTGGTTTCAGAACAATTAACAAACTAAAGGTGGTTCAAAATGCCTTTCTGCTTCTCTTGATGGGACAGAATGACAGTGAACTGGCCACCGCCTCCAATGACGTCACGTCGAACGGATGTTCTGAACGTCAGCGTTCTGGTTGCGTAATCCTCTGGTCACGCGGAAACACGAAAGCTGAACATGGTACTGTTCCTTTTCATTTCACCGGTGTATGACCCGGTTTGTGTACCGGCTGATTGATATTAGGACTGCAAGCTCAAGCCTTCGCAGCCACCGCTCTGTCAGCCGGACAATAAATGGTGCAAAGACACTCTGAACTGAAGCAGCTCTATAGTTAGTCTACATTTTCTTGCAGTATTTTGAGCACGTAAAGTCACATGTTGTGCATTTAGCATGCACAAAAATAGTATTTAAAACTTACTTTATAAATCAGTAAGACCTTAATAAAAATGTGTGGGCTAACAGTTGTGACAATTCATCATTTATTTTCTCACAAACACAATTTTACAAAAACTTTTCAATGGTTCAGGAATGCTTAACATAATCTTATCGTGGCAGGTTTATTTATTTTAAAATTATGACACTGGATGGTAAATAACATAATCACAGGATCTTCCTGAGACAAATTAATTACTGTTTTGTTCTTTTAATCACAGTAACAAGCTACTTGATATAAACACAAACTAAGAAAATTAATAATGCCAAAATAAAAACACTACCTGCATTTTCTTACACGGCTGTAAACAAATGGGAGGAAAATCTGGAAAAATAACTTCAATAAACCAAAAGGCAACATCATCACCAAAGTACCTGAGGATGAAATAAGACTGAGCTTACACATTAATATACTGTAGTTAAATCAAAAAGACCTAAAAATTTTTTACAAAAATATACTTTGAGCAATACATGTAGAAAATGCATTAAAATGCATTTATAAACCACAACTCAAAAATATGTACTGGTATGCTTCTACTGCTTTGCGGCAATTTTAAATAGATAAAACAAAAAATCTGCTTGTTTTTCTTTGAACAAAAATATTCTCAGAAACACAGCTGTTAATAAGCACAGACAAAGTGATTTACCTTTCAAATATCAAGAAACATCTACATCAACTAAAGCTCAAGCCAGCAGAATGTTCACTTAATGAAATAAAATCATTTTTACACAGGCTCCCATAAAGGCTGTAAAACACTGATTGGTGAAAGTCATCTGAGTAAACAAACAGCTGAAAGGAAACCTGTAGGAGTGCTTTCAAAGCTTTTATTTGGACTAAGCCTTCAGGAAAACCTGGAAACCTGTTTATCACTATTTTAGGATTTGTTAAATCAGTTTGCAGTAACATTTTCTGACAGTAACCTCATTGATTTGTAACCCTTCATTAGCTGAATTCAGTTAGTTTAGCTGCCATAGTGAATATAATAAATCATACAACACCACACTTTTAAATCCTGCTGCTATGACAGAGTGTATACAGTACAACGTGATGGTGCAAAGAGCTTTCTGCAAACGACCACATATCCTCGCCTCTTACAAATACTGCATGTGACTCGATAATATCAACGACGGCAAGCAGACATCAGCAGAGTCCTAAAGATGAAGTTGTCCACATCGTGGGACAGGAATTTAAATCCATCGCAGAGACAGATCATTACTAGCACCGGACCACAAGGCGTGCAGCCCATAAAGTTCCCTCAGTTATACAGCTTTTTTCCCTTTCTCCTCCTTCCTTTGCTGTAGCCTCGACCGAACCAGCCCCCCTGCACAGACGTGGCTTCCTCCAGCTGCTCGGATGTCTCCGCTGAGACGTCCTCCTGCCCCTCGGGGGAAACCAGGACCTCACGAGTGTGACTGTTGACCTCTTCTGGACGAAGAGGAGTTGCTAAAGAGAAGATTGGGTCCTGGGCCCTAAAGAAAGAGAATGAGAAAATTCAAGCAGGAAGTAAAAAACAACAACAAGAGTAAAAAAGTAAGCACGAAAATAAGATTTTGTAATGAATTCATTTTATATAATAGTATGATTGTTATTATATGATTGACTTCTTTCAGCAGTGCATATTTTTACTAGTTATTATGAATTAAATGTGTTAAGACTTTTTCCTTCTTTTTATCACAATAACATGTGTGTGTGTACATAAGTTTTTGCATTAGTGTGTGGACATATTTTGACAATATGTTATGTTATGAGGACATGTTGTATGGACATTTGCCTGGTCCATACAATGGAAAAAGACATTTGTGGGTCAGGGGTTAGGTTAAGGGCTAAAGTATGAATTAGGTTTAGATTAGGGTTAGGAATGTGCAATATGGCAAAAAATTCATATCACGATATATATTATGATGGGTGGCAGTAACGATATATATCTTGATATAAAACTTATAATAGAAAATAAATAAATCACATACTAACTGAGTGGAATGTATAAATATGTATAGGTTAAAAAAAAGTTTAGACCTTAAAATCTCCTTTTTAAAGGGAAACTTTAAAGTCTCCCTTAAAAATCTAAATTTAAGGGAGTCCTTAAATGTGTGTGTGTGTGTATATATATATATAT